CTGGCCCAGGCGATACCAGCCCGGAGCTCTGCGCACCTCTCACACGAGGGCCGCTAGCTCCCGCCGCCCCGGCGCGGCGCGGCGTCCGGGGCCGCCTCACGGTGCCCGCCACCCTGGAGTCTACGGACGTAGCTGGGGCCCGCATGGTGCTTATAAGACATACCATGGCAACGTGCACACGTGTTAGACAATCGCGATTCGTTTGTGGTACAAGTTGAAACTGTAGAGCAACGGAAGGCATTGATCTTTATTGAAAAGACTGCAGGCAGTGCAGCCTGCGCCAGGGTGCATCAGGACAACTCAACCCGTCATAGCTCCCCGACGTACTTTGCATGGCACAAGTAGCCCCGTTCACAGGGCCTACCGACGCCAGGACGCCCAAGCTCCGTTCCCGCCCGAACGGTTCCCGCCCAGAGATCTCCGGGGACGCCAAGCCCCGGGTGGGCCCCGGGCGAGTCCCGGGCGGTCGGGCGGTGCCCCAGCGTTGCCGGTCCCCCGTGCCCCCTCCCGAGGGCCCCGAAGCCCGCCAAGTCGTGGCGGCGGGGGCTTGGGGGCTTGGGGGCTTGGGGGCACGGGGTATCCGCTGTTCGGGTAGCGTCGCAGGCGATACCCACCGCCCCAGGGAACCTAGCCCTGTACTTTATGCCCGTGCTTCCCGCGCTCGCGTCGAGGAGCGGGGGTGGTGGGGGGCGTCCTAGGGCATACCGGCCTTGGGCCCGGCGCAGCGGCACTACTCATTCATTCTCGACCCGCCTAAATGACTCGCAGCGGGCCGCTGCCGCCATGGGCTCCCCCAGCGCATCGGGCCCCTGGCTCTTATCAGCTCGGCTCAGCCACCAGGGCTTGCTCGGGCGCAGCCCGCCAGCCTGCAGTAGAGTCCTATACAGTATAGGACTCTAGCCTGCAGATGCTGAGGGACGCGCTCGGCCCCGGTGACACGGCGCTCTCTCTCCACGGCGACGACGACGTCCCCGTCCTGGCCGCGGCCGCCCGGCCCCAATCCGCCGCCGCTGCCGGCCCCAGGTAATCCGTGCAGTACACATGTGTAGGGTCCATTCCCTATATTCTGGCAGAGCGGCGAGCAAAGGCTTTCGAGACAATGCCATTCAGTCATTGTGTAACTCATCAGCAGGGTGTGTTCCGGTGCATTATAAGGGTTGACCTGCCGATGTAGAGTGTCCACCCGTCCTTCCGACCTGCGTGGGGCTCCTCTCTGCAAGACAATGCTCACGCCCAGGCTCGGCTCGGAGAGGTGGCCACTCTAACTTTCGGGTATCGTCCCTTCGACCACGGTGTTTATGAGCCTAACAAAGACGACCGGAAAGCAAAGCCTAGCCGCTCTGCCAGAATATAGGGAATGGAGCAGCCCGAGCAGCCAGCCAGCAACACGGTCGGACAGACGGAGCTGCCAGTCGGGCGCGCGGCATGCGGCCGTGGCGGGGCGTGGCGGGGCTGCCGAGGTATGGGCCCGGGG